GGAGGTTGCCGTGAGCCGAGATCGCGCCATTGCACTCCAGCCTGGGTAACATGAGTGAAACTCCGTCTCAAAAAAAAAAAAAAAGGATGATCATTTCAATTGGTGCAGAAAAAGTATCTGCCATAATCCAACATGCTTTCATTATAAAAACACTCAGAAAACTAGTAATAGCGACTGGTAACTTCCTCAACATGATAAAGGACCGTTATTAAAAATCCATAGTGCTTGCTTCAGCAGCACATACACTAAACGTGGAACGATACAGAGAAGATTAGCATGACCCCTGCACAAGGATAAAATGCAAATTCATGAAGCATTCCATATTTTTAAAAAACACACACACAAACAAAAAAAAACATGCACAGATAACATCACATGCAATGGTAAAAGATGGAATGCTTTCCCCTTAAGATCACCAACAAAGCAAAGATGCCTGCTTTCACTACTGATATTCAACATTGTACTGGAAGTTCTAGACCGACAAAAATAAAATTTAAAAAAGGCACCCAAACTGGGAAGGAAGAAGTGAAACTATCTCTATTTGCAGATGGCATAATCCTATATACAGAAAATCCCAAAGAATACACCAAAAGAACTACTAGAGCTAATAAACAAATTCGGCAAAGCTGTAGGGCACAAGCTCAGCACACAAAAATTACTTGTTTTTATACAACAGCAATGAACAATCCAAAAAAGAAATTAAGAAAATAATTTCATTTATAATAGCATCCAAAAGAAGAAAATACTCAAGAATAAATTTAAGGAAATAAAAATATCCGTATACTGAAAATGGCAAAACACTGCTTAGAGATGACCTAAATAAAAAAAAGGACATCCCATGTTCATTAATTGGAAGACAATAGTGTTAAAATGTTAATGTCACCCAGAGTGACTAACAGATTCAATGCAAAATTCCAATGTCCCTTTTTTCACAAATAGAAAAGCAATGTTCAAATCTATATAGAATTGCAAGGGGCCCTGATGAGCCAAAACAACAACAAAAAAGAAGAACAAAGTTGAAGCACTCAAACCTCCTGAATTCAAGTCACTAAAACGCTGGGCACAGTGGCTCATGCCTGTAATCCCAACACTTTGGGAGACTGAGGTGGGTGGATCACCTAGGTCAGGAGTTTGAGACCAGCCTGGCCAACATGGTAAACCCCATCTCTGCTAATAATACAAGAATTAGCGGCGCGTGGTGGTGCACACCTGTAATCCCAGCAACTCAGAAGACTGAGGCAGGAGAATGCTTTAACCTGGGAGGTGGAGGTTGTAATGAGCCAAGATCGCACCATTGCACTCCACCCTGTGTGACAAGAGTGAAACTCCACCTCCAAAAAAAAATAGAAAGTTACTACAAAGCTCCAATAATCAGAACCATGTGGTATTGGCGTAAGAACAGACATGTAAACCACTGGGATAGAGCTGAGAGTCCAGGCCAGTGCGGTGACTCACGCCTATAATCCCGGCACTTTGGGAGGCCGAGGCGGGCGAATCACAAGGTCAAGACCATCCTGGCCAACAGGGTGAAACCCTATCTCTACTAAAAATATAAAAATTAGCCACGTGTGATGGCATGCACCTGTAATCCCAACTACTCAGGAAGATGGGCCAGGAGAATCGCTTGAACCCACGAGACAGAGGTGCAGGGAGCCAAGATCTCACGATTGCTCTCCAGCCTGGGTGACAGAGCAAGACTCCATTTCGAAAAAAAAAAAAAAAAAGACTTGAGAGTCAAACCCACATATCTAGGATCAACTGATTTTCAATAAGGGGGCCAAGACCATTCAATGGGAAAAGAATAGTGTCTTCAATAAATGGTGCTCGACAATTGGATATTCACATGCAAAAGAATGAAGACGGCACCCTACCTCACATCGTTAACAAAAGTTAACTTAAAATGGATCAGTGACCTAAATATAAGGGTGAAAACCATAATATTTTTAGAAGAAAACAAAGAGGGTAGACCCTCGTGACCTTAGATTTGACAACAGACTGTTAGCTATGACACCAAAAGCATGAACAACTAAAGAAAAAATATAGATACATTTAATTTATCAAAATTTAAAATTCTTGTACATTAAAGGGCATTATCAAAAAGTGACAAGGAGCTGGGCATGGTGGCTCATGCCTGTAATCCCAGCACTTTGGGAGGCTGAGGTGGACAGATCACGAGGTCAGGAGATTGAGACCATCCTGGCTAACATGGTGAAACCCCGTCTCTACTAAAAATACAAAAAATTAGCTGGGCGTGGTGTCACATGCTTGTAGTCACAGCTACTCGGGAGGCTGAGGCAGGAGAACTGGTAGAACCCAGGAGGTGGAGGGTGCAGGGAGCCGAGATGCAGCAGAGATTGTGTCACTACACGCCAGTCTGGGTCACAGAGCAAGACTCTGCCTCAAAAAAAAAAAAAAAAGGAACAAGCATCCCTATGCTATAGAAAAAATATTTTAAAATCACACATTTCATACAAGTTTAGTTCTCAGAATGTACAAAGAACCCTTACAACTCAACAACAAAAATAAACCACCCAATTTTAAAATGGACAAAGGACTTGACTTTTCTCCAAAGAAGATACACAAATGGCCAATAAACACATGAAAAGAGGCACAACATCATGAGTCACTAGGGGAATATAAGTCAAAACCACAATGAAATACTATTTCACACTTACTAGGATGGCTACAGTCAAAAAAAAAAAAAAAGAATAGTAACAACTGTTGGTGAAGATGTGAAGAAATTGGAAGCCTCATACGTCACTGGTGAGAATGCAAAATGGTAGAAAATAGTTTGGCGATTCCTCAAAAAGTCAAACATAGAGTTATCATATGACTCCAAAATTCCCTTCCCAGGTATATACCTAAGATATTGAAAATAGGTATTCAAACAAATACACGTACACACACGTTCAGAGCGGCAATGTTCAAAATGGTAAAAGGTAGAAACAACCCGCCTCTCCACGGACAGAGGAATGCATGAACAAAACGTCATTTACCCCAGCAATGAAACAGTGTTCCACCATAAGAAGGAACGAGGTGGTGACATACCTCACAAGGCGGAGGAAGCTCAAAAACACGTTGAGCAAAAGAGGCCAGACACTAGCGTCACATATTATATGCCGCCATTTACGTGAAATATCAAGAACAGGTAAATCCATAATCCACAGAGACAGAAAGTGTTAACGGCTGACAGGGCTGGAGGGACAGGGTAATTAATGCAGAATTATTGCTTAATGTGTCCAGGGTGGTCTTTGTGGTGATGAAAATGTTCTGGAATTCAAGAGACTTGGCTGCACAACACTGTGAATATACAAAATGCTACGGAATCACGCTGGCCTGGGAATGATCTCTGCCTCCTTGCCTCTTGTCACATTGGGCCACTCTTCGGGCCCACGTTGGCTCTTACCCTCTCTCATGCACACACCCCCAGGCACAGCTGTGTTTTCACGGGCATGATACCACCCTGGAGAAGCATTTCCCCAAGGGACTCATCAAAAGCACTGTGGGATACCAATTACACCCCCAAGCCAGGGACCCCTTCCATGGCCTGTCAGTCTGGAGGGGGCAAGCAGGGCTGTCAAGAGGCAGCAAGGTATCCTGTCCCGTGAAGGGTGGACACAGGCCTCCGTCTACCAGACCCTACTGGGTGGGACCTTCCCACCAGAAAAGGCAGCTCCTCTTCCGTGTACAGGCACCACCCTGGGGCCCCAGTGGGGGTAGGACACGGCAAGCCATGACTGTCACATCCTCGGAGCAAACGTGTACAGATGGCATGAGAGTGACAAAGGCAGACTGAATCAATCAGGTCTGAATTAACCCCCCTGTGCCTCAGTCTCCTTCTCTGTAAAACAGTCTAATAATCACTCCTTGGGGAGTTGTTGAGAGGGTGAATTGAGATAAGGGCTGGTATGAAATCCTGACAAACACGTTGCCCCTCTCGTGTCTGTGTGCGACAGCTGAGCAGGTAAGGGTGTTGTTGGCCCCTGGAGCCAATGACCACATCAGGACAAACGGACGCAGGTGCCTGTTCCTTACCACTCAGGAACGGTGTATCTAACCCTAACCAAGCAAGCACACCTGGGTTGGATGGCCAGGAAGTCACAACCATGGTGACCCCAAGAGCCCTGGGGTATCTGTCCACAGCACACAAATAAGGGGCTGATGGGGTCTTCCCGCCCTCCCTCCAAGCCACTAAACCAAGGCCACCAGCCACAGTCCAGCCCCACCCAGAATCAAATGCCACAGGAGGCCACAGGGAGAAGGGGATGCTAATGACCGTAAGAGACCATGTTTCACTCAAGAGAAGCTGAGGTGCAGAGGTCCTAGACAGCTTTCTCATGGTTAGCCAACTACAGGCAGAAAAGAAGGCCTCACACATGCATAAACCAGGCTCCTCCAAGGCTAAGGGCCACCTCCAAAACATTCCCCAGCCCAAATCAGCAGTAACTTATCCCTTGCTTCTTATGCAAACCCCAAACCTTACCACAGTTCTCCCTGACCTGACCCTGGGCTCTGACCCTACCCATCCGACTGGCCCAGTTACTTACTCAACACACACTTCCCTACAGTGGCCATGAGAGCGTCTGCCACAGCCTCAGGTGGTTCAGCTGTTAAGGTGGCCCTGACACAGCTTGGGGTGGAGGGGCTCAAAACCAAGCCTTACAGAGGGATGTTCAGGGGGGCCCTTAAACATGAACCTGACCTTAATCTTCACCTCAGTCCAAAATTTGACTCCAGCCCTGCCCATAACCTCACATTAGAACCAAGTGAGATTCCAACCCTTACAACTGCCCCAAACACTTGCTGCCTCACTGTCGCTTCAAATTAAAACAAAAACAAAAGTTGAGGACACCTGCAAGTAAACACGCGTGGCAGGAAGGGGATCCTGGGAGTCCGAGTTCCAGAGAGAGGCACAGGCAGAAAAGCCTGGCCCACCCAGGACATGTAGGGATCAGCAAGGGAGCTCCTGTGCAGCCACGTGGCTGGAAGGAGCCTCTGGCCAGCAGCAACGCTCCCAGAGGGGAGCCTACCCTCTCCCGCAGCCACGACAGGATGGTCCCAGCCTAGCACCACACCCGCTACAGACCTCCCAGAGGCTCGGGTGTCCCAGCTGAAGCCGCACGTGTGTCTCCTGGTTTTCCTTCCAGGACCGTGAGTCGCACACACACCAGGCTTTCCTCTACATGCAGGCAGCGGGGGCCCAAAGCTCTTGCCCTGAAGATGGCTATGGCACGATTCCCAGCCCCATTCTGCTTCCCCATCACTGTTTTGTTTTCTTTACGTGTCGTTTGTGATCTTTTCATGTTGACAGCTTGCTATGGACCACCT